GGTCTTACCCAGAACTAAGATTTTTACCAGAAATAACCTTTCTATAGGAAAAATCTATTGATATGGCAGGACAAACATCTAATTACAAAGCATCTAGTCTTTGTCATACATGTCACCCTCTCCTCTGTCATCTTGATTACTGGAGCGAGTCTCTTCAGGAAAACAGAAGTGATGCCTTGGAACTTTGAAGACTGTGCCATAAAAGTTATCCAGTTGCTGCTGGCTCCCCTCCCCCAACACCTTCTGAGCCCTGGTCACCATGAAAGAGGCTAGGAGAGAGATTCAAGACTGACTCCTCTAGAGTCTTCCCTTCCCACACACCAGGCATGTGCAAGAAGAAATCCCTTGGCTGAAAGATCCACATGAGACCAGCAGGTGTGTCTCCTCAGCCTCGTGAATCACAATTGATAATGATAAATTATGTCTGAATGGGAAATGGCAGCCTAAGTATACAGTTATCCACAAATAAAAATTCCAGTTTATGAATTTGTAACGAACACCACAACCATCAATCCATGGGGAGCAGACATGCCTTTTGGTCCTCAAGGCATACTCTTCCCATTATTAGTTTGTGACCTCCCAGAAGGTCTTGAGAAAAGGATTTAGTGAAAGCAATTTATTGCAAGGTAGCAACAGTCAGGGTGTGAGGATAGGGAAGGGGAGTAACTCAATAAAGGGCATAGAACAACCATGTTTCTATTGTGGGCAACTGGTGTTCATTCCCACTCGGGACTTCCGGAAGAGAGTATAGGACGTTTTTCAGAGTGGGTTGTCCCACCTCCAAATTCCCAATAGTCATTGATTGAGAGTTGCTCCCAGGAGGCAAAGAGGCATTAATTTTCCTATACTAATTGATCCTCTCTCCTACTCTTCCAGTATTCAAGCAGATCAGGCTGGAAGGCCAAAAAGAACCCTCAACAAAACAGCAGATGCTGGCAGTTGGGACCAGCAGGAGTAGGAATATTAATGCAAGTCATGGGCAGAAGTTTCCTGCTGACTACAGAATCAGAGGTAGGGGAGGTGTGTGACATTAAGTGAACTTAATAAGTGTTAGCTTCTGCTAGACCACCACTCCCATCTGTAAGGGGACTCCCGGTACCCTGGCACATGAACTAATCATCAGGACACAAGACCAGCAATCCTGGAGGTATAATGGATTTGAACCCTCAGGGTTGGACTCCACAAGGACTCTCTCCATACTGCACCCCTTCTATGAACATAGGTAGATAGCCACATCTTGCTTTTCTTGTAGTTTGTTTTCTGATCCTGCCTGACTTAAAGTTGGATGTTCTCAAGGGCCGTCAGCTTTACCTTTGCAGTGTGGACATGATTTAGAAATCATGGGATTAAAATTAATAAAGGGAACACCCAAAATGGAGTCAGGGGGTCATTAGGAGACTAGAATTTAAACCAGACTAGAATTTAACTTCATGTCTACTATATCTAATTACTAGGCAACCTGGATTTGTAATCAAATACATCACCCTCAGTAAACCAATATTCCAGTACCTGGAATTTGGAGACATGATGCCAGTCTACTCATGTAAATTTATAAATGCTATCAGACTTCAACTTCAAAGAGGATAACCTATCACTACACTAGCATATAGAACACCTTTCCCCTTTGCATGTTCTTTTTTCTTTTCCCTTTCAATGCAACTTATTAGTTTACCTGCCTGTAGGACTCAGCTCTGCCTATACAAATTTTATATATTTCCCCCACATTGGAGTACTTACGCAACCTTGTCTGAGTGGTGGTTCCCAGACTGCAGTCCCCTAAGGAGCCCAAATAAAAGCTTTCTGCTCACTTGCAGATAAAGCTTGGCTCATCGCTGAATTATAATTAAACAACAGACCATCTCTCAGGGTGGGGATCTGGACACTTGGCAGTCCAATCTAGCCTCCCATGATGTATTTTTTCTTTTTCTTTTTTTTTTTTTAAAGCAGGGTTCTTTATTTTTTATTTTTATTTATTTATACAAGCACTGGGTACAGTCAGAAGCACGGGAGGGTGAGAGAACTCACCAGAGCCAGAGCGGGGAACAGAGCAGGCAGAAGGACCGAAGGAGCAGCGGGCGGCAGGAGAGGTCTACGCGCCATGTGGGACCCTCCTCCGGTGGCCGGGGATCGAACCAGCGCTGCAGAGGCTGTGGGCAGCTTCGCAACCCAGTGCTCAACCACTGCGCCACCGGGGAGGCCCATCCCATGTATTTTTTCAGTCTGAGTGCCCTTGTGTTCACCAAGATGCTCATAAGCCTGCAGGTTCTACTTACTTCTGCCTCGCCCAGGATGCAGGCTCCTCTCCTGCTCCATCTTCCCCCAAACTCTGAAGTCTTTTCCTACTTTTCTTCCAAGTTTACAGTGCTGCTGAAAGGCAAGGTGTGTATAGGTCAGCACTGGCCAGTAGAAGTTCATTCAATGACAAATCTGTGGAGTCCGTTATAGTAGTCACCAGTGATGGGTACACGATTTTACATCTTATTTTATATTCTTTGATTTAAATGTAATGACTACCTGTGGCAACTGACACCACCCTGGTTAGCACTGGTAACGGTCATGGGTCCTTTGAATTTACTTCAGGACATTTCCTACTTGAGGGGTTCATTCCTCCCTAGTCCATATCAGAGTTCCTCTCTTCTTGTACTTGCTTTGAGGAGTCCTCATCTGACCCTCCAGTCAGTCTTTATTATGTGAAGTTTGTCTCTGCCCTGCCACTTCCCCTAACCTAGTCTCTGCAAGAAGAAAACATCACTCTGTACAAAAATTAAGAGTTGGGTGTAGACTGGAGGCAGGATGGGAGTGCCACAGCTCTCTTGTGAGAAAGAAGATAATCAGTGAAATACCCTAAAACATCAAAAATGTGAAGATATACCCTTGCCACCCTTGATTGCAAGTTCTAGTTTAGAGGAGGGAGACCATTCTGCCTCCTTTTCAACAGACTATAGATTTGAGAATGGTTGTATACTTTAGAACAACGGCAGAGGGTTCTTTTAAAAATAGACAATTCCTACACCCAAAATCCAGGAGATCCTTATACAAAAACCTGGTGCCTTGGATCATTATTTCTTGAACATCCTTTAGAGTCCCTGCCAGGAGTCAGATTCGGGAACTGCTTCAATCAACATAATGATGCTGCACTTAAGAGTTTTTGAGTTGGCCCCACTCCATCAAATCCCCAGCGACTGTTTTGCCTTTCAAATGCCTATGTCCACTTTTTGCAGTTTTCCTTTTTACTCCTGCATTTATTGTCACTTCCAATTTCCGGTGCCTTCTTCTCTCATACTGCTTCAAAATCACACAAATTATTTTTTAAAGTTACAATAGTGTATGTAATAGTATATAAAGTCTGCACGAAGCCTGAGGTTTCTGCTTCTAGAGTGTCCTGCTGTGTGAACTCTAACAAATGCTTTAATTACTTTTCTTTCTAGGAGTTTGGCCCTTTATGCCTTACTCTCTAAAGACAGGCTTCATTTTCTTAAATATATTTTGTGTGCCAGTGCCCACAGTGTATTTATTAATAACTTGAAATTGTCACAAGTTCTCATTTGGCAGTGATTTTTCATATTTGCTTCACCACCTCTGCTTGAACATTGCCAAATGTAAATGGTCTAGACATTGTATTAAAAAATAACTCCCTCAGGAACAGGCCTGGAAATTTTTGGCATACAGTAACATCTATCTATAGGTAATTCTCCTGGGAGATTTTAAGTCTTCCTGGCAGGTAGGAATTGTCCCAGAAGATTCAGCCCCTATGGCTAACATTATGTAAAGGATATGAGAGCTCAATGACTCACATCCAGTGAAAAGAATTCAGTCAACAAATGGAGTGGATTATGTATATACTATATATATATATATATATATATATATATATATATATATATATGTAGCTCTTTTGTATGAGGACTAATAGAGTGGCAATATAGGGAGAGTGAAAAATAACTGAATTTATATTGGGTAAAATGATACATTGTTGACTGGAGATAAAAATGATTCTTTCAGATAGAGCTTGCATATGATCCAGCAATTCCACTCCTAGGTATTTACCCAAAGGACACAGAAACATCAATTCAAAAGGGCACCTGCACCCCTATGTTTACAGCAGCACTATTTACAATAGCTAAGCTTGGGAAACAACCCAAATGCCCGAAAATAGATGACTGGATCAAGAAGATGTGGTACATATACACAATGGAATATTACTCAGCAATCAAAAAAGATAAACACATGCAATTTGCAGCAACATGGATGGAGCTGGAAGGGATCATGCTCAGTGAAATAAGCCAGAAAGAAAAAGAAAAATACCGGATGGTCTCGCTCATAGCAGGAATCTAGAAAACCTGAATAAGGGAGCAAGAGAAAGAATAACTATAAGAAAGAAAAAAAAAATCAACAAACAACTATGAACCAGAGACACACTATGGGGAGGGGGCGGGGAACGGAGGGATTGGGGTGAAAATAAGGGGGGTGCAATTGTATGGGGGATATAAAAATAAATAAATCATTAAAAAAATGATTCTTTCAGGCCAGCTTAGCTTGCTGGGGGGTGGGGGGAAGGTCATCACGTGGTTAAATCAATTGCTTTGGGTGGCTGCATGAAATTCCCTTCTGTGAAACTTGCATTTGGGCTGAGAGTTCCAATCCGTTATCCCATCGCCCTATTTCAGTCATGCTGAGCAGGGATTCTGGGAACAATCTGATGTTGCGTATTTTTGGTTAACTTTACTGGCAGACAGCAGTCATTTCCCTTTTCCAGCGGACTTAACCGACTAAAGCTCACCTGGCCCTAGAATCCCCACTGAGGGTCACGCCTCCACCCCCGCCCCAAAACCCCGAGCAAAGGTGGTCCGCACCTTCGGTTCCCACCCGCTTGGCCCCACAGCCTTCTGGGAACTGTAGTTGACGTTTCCCTCATGTCCGCTGTCAGAGCAAAGCCTGGGACTACAACTCCCGACAGGCCTTGCGCGCGCGCCTGCGCCTCCACCCCACCCCCAGTCCCTGCGAGGGGAGAGGGAAGGCGCGGAAGGCTTGTGTGAGTCGCTCCGCAGTTAGTGGCGGCGCGGGCGAAATGGACAACGCCGGGAAGGAGCGTGAGGCGGTGCAGCTGATGGCGGAGGCAGAGAAGCGAGTCAAGGCCTCCCACTCCTTCCTTCGAGGGCTGTTTGGGTGAGCGCCAGATCGCGCGTACCCGGAGGGGGTCTCCGCTATTCGCGGGAGCCCTTCACGCGCCCCCTAGGACCCGGAAAACGCCCCAGGGGCCTTCAGTCATCGCTCACCTTTCGGAGATCCCCCCGGGGCCCCAGAACTACTCACATGCGCCCTCCAGAAGTCCCCTCAGTCCACCCCGGACTTGCCCTGCTGAACCCCCAAACGTCCCAGGGGCCCTCAGCTCCCGGGCGCCCTCCAGAGACTCCTCGGGACCCCCAGAGCCCCAATCCCAGATCCCTCCACGCCCCCTCGAGCCCCACGCTACCCTCGCGATGGTGGGGTGTCCCCGGCCTCTCCCTCCCGCGCCATCTCGGGTTTTTGCCCGGGGCCCCACACCGCCGTGGCGAGACCGGTTTGTTTTTTCGCCGCGGTTGAACCCGCATCACTCGAAACACCGGGTGTCGGGTAGACTTGGGGCACGCGCGGGAGGAACAGGGGGGGCGGGGCGGGGACCCCTGCGCCTGGCCGGCGCTCCTGGGGGCGTCCGGCCGGCTGTGGGCCGGGAGAGGCGCAGGGAGGGGAGCGCGGCGCCCCCCCTCCAGCGGTGGTGTGCGGGTTTGCCTTCCCCCAAGTAGACGTTTAGGTCATATACGTTGGATAAATGAATACGTTTTCGCAGCATAGTAGTTCCCTTCGCCAGAGATTGATGTAATTGCGGGGGCCTCCTGTTTGATTAAAGATAACGCAGCTCCGGCGTCTTTTGGGAATTACCGCTAATCTCCATGCTTTCCTAGGAAAGGTCTTAAATTCGGGAGCTTCTCAAAAGCAGCCTGCACTGCCAGCTCTCGGAAGAACCCTGGGCGGCTGAATATGTGAATGATTCAGCTGTTTATGATGAGAGAGGCAGAAAATTCCGTGGTGGTTTTTTTATTTTTCCTTCTAGAAGTGAAAGATGCTCTCTCTGCCCGCACCAAGAGCTTGTGTTTAATCCTGAGAAGGACTTGTGGTTCATACTGAGCCATTGTATTAGGCACAGTTTTAATTCTGTACAAATGCTTTTCACTCTTAGTTATAATACTTTTCTGTTCGTTGATACATCTTCAGGAAATGCTTAAATGGAGATTTCATATAGTGTCAGTGAAGATGGCAATACCTGTCAAGATCCTCTCAGAGGGTATTTATCCCAACTGGCTTCTAAATTTCTCATGTGATATATAATTTGGAAATATAACAATGATTATAAATTTGTTCCTCTTTAAAAATTATAGCAATACAAAAGGATCATGGCCTATTACTTGATGTTAACACCCAACAGTAGCTCCTTTTTCTGATTCACCAAAAATTTAAAATTTCCTCAGGTAAAATGTAATGTCACAGCACCTCCTTCCAGGTGGTGGTCTTAATGTCACAATGTATTTCAAGTCAGGGTGTGCTTCTCTGGAAGGGAATCTGGAATTGGCAAAGGAAAAAGACTGACAGCACTGATGCTTACCACTTTTTTTGTGAAAAATTGTTGCGTTGTTGTTTTTGTGAAACTAGGCCAAACCTTGAGCCAATAATCCTAAAGGATTTTGATCCTTTTTGTTTTTAAAAAAACACATCTTCTCTCCGTTGGTTGTCAGTCACTTACTTGATTAACAGACCATATAGGAAGACTTGTCTTCACTGCTCACTTACTTTAGCGTGGATGTCATTGTTTAACCTGGATACACCAGGTCACTTATTATCCTGATTCTGGCACCGACGACTAAATTATTTCACCTCTCTGTACCCCACTTTCCTGTTATAAAACTGGGGTAATAATAGTACATTTCATCCTAAATCACAGTCTTGTAAACCATTGTTATCTCAATACAAAAAATAGATTCACGAAAATATCTACTATATTTTACTTAATAAAGAAATTTTAGTAAAAAATACTACATTTCATAGTTTGCAAAGGTTCAATGAGTTTATTCTTGCAAAACATTTAGAACTGTTGAGGACAGTTGTTATAAGATTATGAAATATTAATTAGCATATTCATCAAAATAACTTTTATAAAAAATAAAAGTTATTTTTTATCAGGGAAGCAGAGAGCCAGACAGATTGACATTTCCAGGATTTCAGAGCCAAAGACCTTTTGGGCTTTTATCCTATTGAATACTGTTATTTTCAGTAATGCTTGGCTCTAGAAAAACTTGGGGAGGAAAAGTACACAGAATTCTGTGAGTTTTAATAGTATTATGTAATTATTTAAAGCCAATCGGCCTTGTTTTCCTGTTACTTACAATGGGAAGACAGATTTTCTATCACTTTCAGATGTTTAGAGTCCTATATTATATATGGTATCACTTATCTTGATCATCACCCTTGTAAACCTGAATATGTGTTGGTACACCCTGCCCCCCTTTCCTTAGCCTTAGAATTGTCCCCTTTTTGATGCTGTTCTACATGTTATCCTTCATTTAAATGGCAGCTTAGTTCATCTCTTTCTCATCAGACTCTTGAATTAACAGAACATACCATTATGAAAATCATCAGTATTATCTGAGCCCATATAACTGAAGAGCTGACCAGTTCATGCTTTAAAGGGACAGGTGATACTGTTTGTTGTAAGGATGTGGCAGCCATTAAAATGTTCTCAGTATATTGCAGATATTTCACATCAGATTTATTGTCAGTATCCTAATCGCAGATTAAAACCCATAAGCAGTTTATCTCCTGTTTCACTCAGTGTTCATCCACCACCCTCATTGGTTTTTTTGATAGTACTATATTCTCACTACTATACTATAGCTCTTCCCTTTTTGTTGCTTTCAGTAAAATTAGATGAAAACGTGCATTGAATATTCCCCAAAAAGTCATATGTTTCTTCTCATGTAAGTCACTCGTCCCTTCCTTGCCTGCAAAGATGTCACTATTCTTCCCCACATCCTTCCTGCAGGAAAAGAGCTGTTGGTGGCCGCAACTATCACTAGAAATCACTGTTAGTGGTGTTCTGTTTTTCTGCTTGACTGCCAGTTAAACAATGATGTGCTTTTGTAATTGTGAAATAAAACCAAAACTTACTCTCTCCGAAAGCCTTTGGCTATAGAAAACTACCATGAAAAGAGTAGTGTTTCATTGTTAGCAGAGGTGAGCTATTAAATTGTGAAGTTAATTTTATATTCTAATTTACCATCTTAATTAAGTACTAATATGATCTTAAAGTGGCCTGCATTTGACAGTAAGTCCTTTTGAATTGTAAAGGCCTTTATTAACTGTCCTTTCAGCTTTTGGTGGACCAGAATGGGGATAATCTGCCCCGTGCACACTGCAGAGAAGGGCTGTTTAAGTGCCAGTCGGAAGATATTCTGGGTGGTTAAGGCTTTCTTATCTTGTTTTGAATGTTCCCCAGTTTCAAAGTGTGTGAAAGAGCCATAAATCTGGCAGTGTCAGTAAATTTAATGAGAGGCCCTATTGGGTTATGTTGAGGTAATCATGAGTCAATCATTTCTTAGCTGCTTGTGAAAATGGGGAACATGTCTGACACCTTGTAGGACATTCATTCTCAGTAATCCTCACTCAGTATTACTTGACAAAGATTATGTTTTAAGTTTTGTCAAAATATGATGGGAACATGCAATGGCCTTTGTAAAGCATATGAGTCTTCCATTACTATAAATACTCAGGTGCAAATTGAACTTAGAAAAAAATCATTAGGGCATCCCTGGTGGCGCAGGGGGTTGAGTGCAGCTCTGTGAGGCTGTCTGTGGCCTTTGCGGCTCAAGTTCCATCCCCAGCCAGCTGGGGAGCAACCCGTATGGTGTGGCAGACCTCTCCTGTCTCGCCTGCTGCTCCCCTTAGCAGTATATTTCAGTACATTTGCCTGTTCTGCTCCCTGCTCTCTCTGGTGAATCTTCTCAACACCCCACAACTCTGGCTTGTACCCCACTTCTAAAAAAATTATTTTAAAAAAATCATTAAACCTAGATTTTCTTAAAGCTAGGTGGTGTAATATAAGAAATATATTAATTTATATAATGATAGAAATAGAATAGTATCATGTAATCTATGTATTGGTTATTTTAGGTATCATAAAACATTATATATGAACTATTATAATGTGTATTGTTATATGTTGAAAAAACAAATAAAAGCCCTGGTTTTCAGATTTACTAGTTTGGTGACCCTGTCCAAATAAATGGTACACAAAGCTTCTAGGTTTTTTTTTTTTTTCTTAGCTTTCAAATGGTCAGAGGAATAGAATAGAATCTGCTTTTCAGTGTTGTAATTGAATGGGGTATTATTAAGTTGCACAGAGCTATATTACTGTTAATTATAATCATTTGGTTTCTAATTTTAGTGTCAAGTTACAGTTTGTATGTCAAACAATAAACTATTGCCAGATTGTCCTTTTTCTGTTTGTATTTTTGCAGAGTTCACCATATATCCTCTCGTTCTTGTGAACCCTATGAGGTACAGAATTGTTTAGAAGAGGTGGGGAGGACCTTGTGGTGGTATGTGGCTCTAGAATGTAAACTCCTGGCAGTCGTCCTATTTTTTTGTTGTGTCCTGACACCTCAGCAGCATGTGCAGATTGGTGGAGAGAATGAACGCACAAATGCTAAATACCGTTTTACTCTTTTGCCCATTTTCAGTAGCAAAGGCAAACAAAGTAAAGGGAAGTTCATGTCACTTCTGTGTTTTAATTAAGCATGTGTTTATTATAAATGGAGCTTATTGTAAGCAAGGATGATTTAGTTAAAATCTAACAAATTGCTAGATCAGTGCTTTCTTGGATTAAAGTATATATTTTTTCATGGTAGGGAAATACCAGTTCTTTTAATGGGTGTTTTCATTAGGTATTGAATACACCTATATATACATATATTTTTTAAAGATTTATTTATTTATGTATACAAGAACGGGGGTGTAGGCCAGAGGTGCGGGGTGTGAGAGGATTCACCAGAGACAGAGTGGGGAATAGAACAGGCAGATCTACTGAAATACTCTGCTAAGGGGAGCAGTGGGCGAGTCAGGAGAGGTCTGCTGCG